AGCAAACTGCTGTGCGTATCATGCCTGCAATCATACAATACAATACATTACATTACATTACATTACATTACATTACATTACATTACATTACATTACATTACATTACATTACATTACATTACATACATACATATATACAGACATACATAAATACATACATACATACATACATACATACATACATACATACATACATACATACGTACGTATATACATACATACATAAACACATACATAAACACATGCACCCACATACATGCGCGCCATCCATGTAAACCATGCTATACCTACCCGGGGCTATGAAGCTAATAGAACTAGTTACACAGACACGCTGCCCAATACAGGTGCAATGCAAACATTGCTCTGCTTGCTTTTCGGGATAATCGGTGTCTAGTTTTTCGGGAGGGGGCACAAAAACCACTTCGGTCATCCCCACCCCGTCCCTAAAAACTCAATTCGACACATTTGCAGAGACGTTTTCGCTCTTGCCTGCTATATTAACATGCGGTTCAGCCCTAAGTGTGAGGCGAAGACTGGCTGACGAGACACCTGGCCGAGCAAGGACATGAGCTTCCTTTGTGATCATCTGATTCCCATCCGCGGACAGAATCACGATCACATAGTGCCCGGTCGTGTTCCGCAAGCGTAGGCGATAGCTCACGAGCTGCCGGGCACGAAGCATGCAGGTGGCGGACTCCACGCTGAGCACTGAGTCCCGTCTGCGGTCACCCGTCTTCGGCTCAGTCTCTGAACCAACGAAGATGGCACTGGGCGACTGCTGGTCGGTTGACAAGGCGGATCCCATGTTGGGTGGCAGTATGGCAGGCGACTTACCCTGGGTTAAGGTTAGGCCTTAGGCTAAAGTGCCTTGGACCAAATAATCGGCACACAAGCGCAGATCATAGGCACAGGAGTCATGCACCAGTCCATCAAAGCGGGCCGTCGCCTGAGAATCAGCTCTGCGAGGCTGGGTCGGTCCCAGTTTCTGTCTCTACCCATGGGCCCCATAGTAGTTCCTTTGTGGGGTGCATATATATATATATATATCTTTATATAGAGGCCTATAAGGTAACCCCCAAAAGGAACTACTATGGGGCCTATGGGCACTCGGGACTGACGGTTCCTGTTTACGGTGAAGAGTCAGAGTAACTTGTCCGAGGTTAGGGTCCATCACTGAGCAGCTTGAGGGTTTAGAGCCTTCAGGATTGAGGGCTTGGGTCTTTAGCAGCCCAGGCCCAGAACCCTCAACTCGTGCGCAAGCTTCAAGGATTTGGGGTTTATAGTTGAGCGGTTTTGAGCACCGTGGTTGGGTTCTTCAGCCCCTGGGCTATACGGTCCTACTCCGCATCTTGCCCTTGCAGTGCAGGCAGGGGGCGTAAGTCATGGGCGGTAGCAGCACCACCTCGCAGGCTTTCGATCGCCCAGGGCGTCTTGGACTTGTGCGAGGTTTGGAGCCGTACTATCAATGCAGTTGATACAGGGTTCAAGTCTTCGGACTTCAGAATGAAAATCGCTGCTGAGAGCAAACATGTGATGACCGCGATATCAGTAGCAATGCAGCACGGGGCAACAATGCCAGTGCTTTTATAATATCTATATTATTTATAATATTTATTATATTTATTATATTTATTATATTTATTATATTTATTATATTTATTATATTTATAATATTTATAATATTTATAATATTTATAATATCTATACTATTTATAATATGGATAATATGAAACATATTAACTTGTGACTGGAACAACTCTTGTTGCTGCAGCATGGTGCGACGACGAGCAGGACGAGGAATCCTACTGCTGCTCGGCTGGCGCAGTCGCTGCTGCTGCCTTTCCTCCTCCTCCTCCTCCTGCTCTTCCTGCTACTAGCACCATGACGACTCCATGTTTGTAGCACTAGCACAAGTGCTACAAGGACTATATTCATGAATGCAGGCATGACTCTCCCGAATGCGAACACGTAGGTATGGTTGTTGGCGGTGAGTGTTGACACTTTAACGCGGCCTGGATCCCTCCACAAACCTATATCTTGCATAGACAGGCTCCCAGCAGAAGCTCTGCCCAAGCTCAAACTCAGTACCCTCAGCCCTAGTCCACTGATCGTGAACCTAGTAAACCCAAATCCAACAAAACCGACTTCTAAAACCCTGGATCGTAAAGCCGAAAACCCAATTATTGCAGCCTGAAGTCTGAAGCAATCCTAAACCCTAAACCCTAAACCCTAAAACAGTATCAGGTCGCCTTGTAGTCCCCATATTGACAACCGTACTAACTCACTCACTACAACGTACCCCGAAGCTCGAGTCCATGTCTTGCAGTTCCTAGACCCTATAGACTTTAAGCAGTAAATCTACAAGCCCACAAGCACCTACCTTGAACCGTAAACCCTAAGCCCGTAAACCCCCAAGCCAGAACCAGAAGCTCCCCATAGGCCCCATAGTAGTTCCTTCTTGGGGTTATCTTATAGGATTCTATCTATGAACCGCACAAAGGAACTACTTTCGGGCCTATGGGTCTAACATAACAACCATAAGCCGACTGGCGCCTCGTTCTCCGGGAAGGCCACGTATCCAATGGGGATCGCCGTGCCCAGTGCGAAGAGAAGGTCTCGGAAAGACCAGCCTGCGTGGAATTGGGTTTTGGTCAAGGTAATAACAAGGCTGTTTACGGTGTTGCAGGGTGTGGCATCGCCTTATGTGGTTTGTTATGGGTTGTATTTATAGTGTTCTGCAAGGGGTCTTATGAAGGGTTTGGGGTATGCTGAAGCATAATACTTAGAATGAATGTCTTCAGGCCCACTTTTTAAGGATCCCGGTTCTAGGGTGCAGGATTTCAGCATGCAGGGGTTGGGGTGCGGTTGCGGGGTTACACTTGAGACATGGGGTCCTCTTTGCCAATAGTGCAAGCCCAGTTCGCGACAGACTGTGAGGTTACGACAACATGAACCCTATGCCCTGCATCCTAATCTTGGAGGCAATACGGCCGAACGCCTTGCTAATGATCGCGGCAACGACAGCGGTGCTGCTGCTGCTGCTGCTGCTGCTGCTGCTGCTGCTGCTGCTGCTGCTGCTGCGGATGATGATGACAACGACAAAGACAATGACAGCTATGATGCCATGGATGATGTTCCAGACCTAACTCAGGTACAATTACCAGGCATGACGCTAGGAATATTTGTGGACGAGTCTTGCAGGCATTGGGAATGCAAGAGTTACGGCATCCTCATCCCTAACCCGTTGGTAACGCTACCCACAGGCCCTAAAGTAGTTCCTTTTTGGGGTTCATATAGAGAATCCTATAAGGTAACCCCGAAAAGGAATTACTATGGGGCCTATGGGTAAACCCAGAAACCCTGAACCGGAACCAGAAGTTCTACGCTGCAAAAGCCTTCACCCCAAGGTCCCAAAACCCTGAACCAAAGTCCCAAACCCAAACCCCCTAAACCCTAAACCCTCAACCCTAGACTCTGACCCCTGAACCCTAAACCCTAAACCCCTAGTTTTCCAGAGCCGCAACACCTTAAGCTCCAAAGCGCACAAAACCTGTTGTTTTGAACCAAATCCTTCAATGTCCAGAATAACTAATACTTCACCAATCGAAAAGTTCTCGGGGACTTAGAGTAATGCAGGAGCTTGTTTCTGATTACCCGAGACCTTAAACCCTACGCCTTCGCCCTTAGCCCCGCCTTGGAGACCTTCCACGTCGGCGATGTAGAACCTGACAATCGAAAGATAAGTTCCGTTGTTGCTGAGAGCCATCTTGGTTTGTTTGAGTTTGGGGTTGTGGGGGGCAGGGCTCTGGGGGTGTGGGGCTAGGCGGTTTCGATCAAGCCAGGTGTTCATTCGCATCAGCAGTACTCAAGTAGGTGCTCTGTCACTGTTTCGAGTCTGTGCCTTAAACCCCGAAACCCTAAACCCCTAAACCCTAAACCCCTAAACCCTAAACCGCAAACCCTAAACCCTAAACCCTAAACCCCAAACCCCAGCGGGGTGGAACCTTATAGTTCTGGACCAGTGATTCAGACGGGTTTAGGGTTTAGGGTTTAGGGTTTAGGGTACCGATTCAGACAAAATCCGAAATCGACCCACCCTCCGCCCAGAGCCTCACTGCACCGAGGGCCTTTGAACTTAGCCCCTGTGGAAGGGTTGGGAGGTCGAAGGTTTCAAGTGCGATAGGGGCCTTAACAATTAGAATACGGTTTTGGGGGCCATTATACTATAAGTA